CCTAACTCTCCATCAACATAAATTCGCATTTTGGAATGCTCATTTACGGCAACAGTGCATATACCGTACATTTTTGGATTGACGTCCAATTTGCTTTATACACGTGTATGACATCCAATTATAACACGTGTACGACATCTACCCGTGAAGCAGAAACACCTAAAATGCCCGATTAAATAATAATAATTTTAAAAGGACGAAAACATCCTTTATAGACACAAACCGATACCGATTCCAACCTTCGGGTCTTTTCAGCGGACCCAAACTGATACCGATTTATAACAGCTCTATTTTTATGATTTTATTTTGATTAATGTTGCAGCCTTGGATGGGCCGAGGGCCAATAGGTCAGTCTTGTAGACGAAGAGTTATATGTCAAAGGCCCTGTGCTAACTTGAGGTGGAGACTCCAATGATGAGATTATTGAGGGTGTGATGAGAGGTGGACGAGGCCCAGACAGATTAGACGATGTCATAATGGAATTCTCAAGAGTGGAGGGTCACACTCTCTGCCACGCGTGGGCATGCCATTGGTCTGCCATAAGCGCTTATATCATTTACCCCCACTCTTGAGACCGTGATGGAGGTCTTAGTTGAGGACTTCGACTTCAACCGAGGAGATTGTGTTATCATTGCTGAGAGGCGTTGAGTGACTTTCTTTGATGAGGATCTCGACCTCAGCTTTGACTTGTCAAGGAGGTACTTTGTCTTTGATCACAATGGGGTTAACTTAGGCTTTGATTTTGCCTCTGAGGAGTGTTGTGGAGGACTAGTCGTGTAGAGGCATCGGCCTCGGCTTTAGGGAGTTTGGTACTGTGCTATGTACGGGTATGAGACATACGTGCCCCCTAGTTATGCACTTTACTAGTATTGTGGGAATCTGTGCGAGGCATCGGCCTCGGCTGGTGGTCACCATGTGAGATACGGGTGACGAATGGTTGTGTCGTGACCGTGCATAGGATGGGTGCTACTATTGGTGAGCTGGGGGACTATGGAGGAGACAGGTCTCGGCACTAGGTGAGGACAATGCGCACTACGAGTCCCCAAGTTAACGTGTTAGGACCGTACCCAAGACGGGCCTCGGGTCGTGACCATACGTGAGATGGATCGTCGCATCATATCCGTACACGAGACGAGCGTTGGGTTGGTTGGGTCATGCTACTTCTGGTTTAGGATCACTGGGCAAACCACTCGACTCAGTGAATGGACCGACTAATTTTCTCAACGTCATTTCGTCTTCTTGAGGCGAGT